TGGGGCAGATTTCTGTTTTTGGGGTAATTTTGGAAATTTTGGGATGTTTTGGAGAAAATTGAGGGAAATTTTGGTCAAATTTGGGACTTCTGAGGAAAATTTGGGATATTTGGGGCGGATAAGGGAAAATTGGGGCTAAAAAATGGGAAAATTTGGGCAATTTTGATGAAATTTTGGACATTTTGGGAAAAATTTGGGACTTTCTGGGTCATTTGGGGGAAATTTGGGTCCATTTTGGGAAAATTTGGGACATTTTGGGGCAAATTTGGGACATTTTGGCTCATTTTGGAAAAACTTGGGAGCAAAAAAAAGGAAAATTGGGAAAAAATATCAAAATATTTGAGGAAATTTGGGAAATTTGGGGGGAAAATTGAGGAATTTGGGGACCTTGGGGGAAAATTGCAGAAATTTGGGCTCAATTTGGGAAATTTTGGGGCCGTTTGTGGGATTTTGGGACCAAATGGGGGAATTTTGGGGTCAATTCTGGACAATTTGGGGCAAATTTTGGACAATTTAGATCAAATTTTGCCCATTTTGGGTCAATTTTTGCCCATTTCTGGTCAATTTTGAGACCAATTTTGGGTCATTTTCAGAACATTTGGGGCAATTTGGGGGGAATTTGGGGCATTTTGAAGCACATTCAGTAAATTTTGGGGAATTTTGGGGGACGTAGTGAAAAATAGGGGCAATTTTGGGTCAAATTTGGGCGATTTGGGTCAATTTGGTGTCAGCTTTTGGGTATTTTGGGGCATTTCTGCCCATTTTGGGGCATTTTAGGAGGAAATCACCCGAATTTTGGGTCATTTTGGGGCTGTTTGGAGACTCCCCCAAACCCACAGAGAGAATGGAGTCGATTTTGGGTCGAAATTGGGCGATTTTGGTCAATTTGGTGTCAGCTTTTGGGTATTTTGGGGCATTTCTGCCCATTTTGGGGCATTTTGGGAGGAAATCGACCGAATTTTGGGTCATTTTGGGGCTGTTTGGAGACTCCCCCAAACCCACAGAGAGAATGGAGTCGATTTTGGGTCAAAACTGGACGATTTTGGTCAATTCGGAGTCAGCTTTTGGGCATTTTGGGGCATTTCTGACCATTTTGGGGCATTTTGGGAGGAAATTGTCCAGATTTTGGGTCATTTTGGGGCTGTTTAGAGACTGCATCAAACCCACAGAGAGAATGGAGTCGATTTTGGGTCAAAACTGGGCGATTTTGGTCAATTTGGAGTCAGCTTTTGGGCATTTGGGGTCATTTTTGTCCATTTTGGGGCATTTTGGGAGGAAATCGCCCAAATTCTGGGTCATTTTGGGGCTGTTTGGAGACTCCCCCAAACCCACAGAGAGAATGGAGTCGATTTTGGGTCAAATTTGGGCGATTTTGGTCAATTTGGAGTCAGCTTTTGGGCATTTATGGCCATTTCTGCCCATTTTGGGGCATTTTAGGAGGAAATCGCCCAAATTCTGGGTCATTTTGGGGCTGTTTGGAGACTCCCCCAAACCCACAGAGAGAATG